GGGTAGCGGCCATAAAACTGGATGTGAGGGCCTGCTCGGGTAGCGGCCATAAAACTGGATGTGAGGGCCTGCTCGGGTAGCGGCCATAAAACTGGCAAATGCCCCCAGGGAAATGGCGGCTCCCAGTTGCTGAGTTCGTACCTTTGGATTTCTATCTTCTCTCAGACCTTGGCCTTATACAGATCTTTTTTTTTGGAGTTTTGGCTGGGGCCGGGCTTGAACCTGCCACCCCTGGTATATGGAGCCTTTGCCCTACTCCTTGAGCCACAGGCGCCACCCCTTATAGAGATTTTTTTTTTTTTAACTCCTTAGTACTATGATGCCTTCAAACAGGGGAAATGCCTCAAAGAGAAATTCAATTTGAATTACTTGGTGTGCTCATAGAGAAGGCAAAATTCACCTGGTTTCATTTTTATTTCTAATTTAGAAATTAATTCCACTTCTTTCTTGAAGTCTCTTTCCCCTCTTTTGGCTTTCTAGTTTTCCTCTACCTCTCTGAGTGTTCCTGTTTCTCCCGAATGCTTCTCTTCCCTCTCTGCCCTGTTGATAGTGAGGATTCTATTCTGCATACTCATCTTTTCTTTCTGGACATATCTATCTTATCCAGTTACGGAGTTTCAAATATCATCCATACATAGATGACTACATTTTTCCAGTTCTTGTCTTTAGCCTCATGGCCTGAAATGGTTTTTTCTGAACCAAAGTGAACTCCTTGGAATTTCTTGAACATGACATGGCTCCCGTGTATAGCGCATACTGCCCCTTCTTCTATTCTGCTCAGAAAGTCCTTTCCTCCCCAGTCTACCTGGAAAACGCATCAGTTTTCTTAGGATTCAGAGCAAGTATCCATTCCACAGTCTTTTCTGCTTCCCCAGGAAATAGGTATTCTCTTCCGTGTCCCCTTAGTACCCCAGTGATCATCATAATAAGAAACTTATAATTTTTAAAGTTATGTATTGCATGTTTTAAAGCAAGTATGAGCACTGTTCCAAGTGCTTTTTCTATATTAACTTGTTTGATCCTTATAAAAATCCTATGAAGTTGGTAAAATTATAATTATCCACATTTTACAGGTGAGGAAATTGAAGTGACATAAACTGGTGAAGATGATGCAGCTAATAAAGTGCAGAGTTTGGATTCTCAGGCATCTGGCATCAGTCTGTAACCTCCACCACTATACCATTCCCTATGTTATCTTACTAGTTACAATCATTTTCTCTATCATGTGTTGACAACTGTTGTTCCAAGCATCATGCTAAATGCTTTATGAGTTAATAAATAATTCTGTAGTGTGGTTTCTTTTTCCTTGTTGAGGAACTTGAGACCCCAAAAGGTTCAGTAGTTACCCCTCAACTCCCTATTCACTGTGTTAAAATGCAGCAATTCTCTAGTCTTCCCTATATTCATGCCCTTAATTCTGGGCTGGTCTTGTAATGTGGGTTGATCAAGCCTAGGCCTCCACACGTCTTGTGCATTGCTTCTGTTTCTTAGAAACCCTGCCACGGCCGTGAAGACAAGCCAAGGTGAACATGCAAAACAGAGACAGCTGAGGCATCTCAACTAGTCGACCTGCCAGGTGACCTCATGTGTATGGGAGGTCACTCAACAGCAGACTTATGAGAAAGGATAGCTATTGTTTTAAACCACTACATTTTGGAGGTAGCTTGCTATGCGGTAGCATGGTAGTAATGTGTAACTGATTGAGTCATCTAACTAGGTTAAGTGGTAGCTTCTAACACACAAAGATATGGCCCAGGTTGTGTTAGCAATGCAGCTTGGTAACAGGAAACTAAGAAATACAATTTGACCCCCCATTCATGGATGGCCTCTTCCCCATTAAGTACCATGTCCACAAGGGGACCTCAGCCTGGCTGAATCCTAGCAAGGGCCAGTGGTGGTGGAGCAGCACAGGTGGTTGAATAGAGACTGATCTTGCTCTTTCTGGAGCACAGAATCATCTGGATGGGTGAGATAATCACAGGATGAGGAATCCACACTCACTATGTCCAAGACATAGGTTCTGAGGATGCAATGGTGAATACAACCAAGTTCTTTGCCCCCATTTGGAGTGGAGGAGGAGCCAGAAATATATGCGCAGATACATACGCCTAAGTGCTACGAAGAAAAATAAAGCAAGATTAACTTGAGAGAGGAATAAGGCGTGCAATTGGGTTGAGAAGTCAGGGGACCTAAGGAGAGGGCATTTGAAGAAGCCTACACGTAAGGAAGACATGCAGACACCAGGTAAGGGAGATACAAAGTGGGAAACGGCACATTAATGTTCCTGTGGCCACGTCTGGTCCATTAGAGGAACAGGGAGGAACCAAGATGCTGGAGCAGACTGATCTCCGTGCTAGAGAGAACCATGGGCCAAGTCATGTAGAAATGAGGGGACACAGTAAGGACTAGATTTTACTCCATGTGAGATTGCCACCATCACAACCACTATATACCAGTACACGGAAATACTTCAGTTTGTTGGCAGAATGGTGGGGGAAAAGCCATAATTTATATCACTTAAGACAAACTGATCCCAGTCTTAGCTTCTCATGAATAATCTGTAGAAATTCTTGATTCCTGGATCCACCTACTATATCAAAAACTTTGGATGTGAGCCCTAGAATCAGTATTTTACTTAACAAAGAACACCTTCATACAATATATGGTTGTATATGCATAGAGTTGTTTGTGCAAAGAAAATGTGAAAGGATATACACCAACCTTTTAAAAATGCAAACCTCAGGCACATTTAGTTCTGAGTAGAAATGCTTTACAGAGCTTAAAGTTTTTTAAAATCAGCCCTTAGACATCCATTCCCTAATTTAAAAAAAAGATCTGTAACTGAATTGCACACAAGAGCACATTCACTATTTTATCAGTTTAGTGTCAAGCAAATTGATCATTATTGCACAGGGATGCTTCCATCACAACAGGAACCAAGTAACTCAGGCATTTTCCTTATTGCTGTAACAGTGGCAAAGTTCTAATCTAGAACACTCTGCAGTCACAACTATTCTTGCCTAAGTTTCAAGTTACTTAAAATCCTCTTTGGACTTAGGCAAATTAACAAATGAATAAACGATAACCTATCACCAGTATTGAATTATGCAAAATCAAACAAACCTTTAAAAAATTATAGAAAATCAACTTAGTAGACAACTCAAAGAGAAAAAATTTTATTTGTGATATAAAATGCACTTATAAAATGTCCACAGAAGGCATGTAATTTTCTTCAATACTATATAAATTTATTGGGAATATGTTATTCACCATCTAGTTATAATGCCACCTAAAACATACTGTAAACGATGAGTTATACTCTATAACAAATGCATCACTGATTTTCAGCAATCATTGGTTTATTAATAATTAGTTTAGACTATATAATCACATCTATATTCTGGAATGTCCATGTAGTGTTGTGGAATTTGGGGTATAATTGCACATGGATGGTAGAGAAAAACATTCACTACTAAATTATTTTATATCTTCGTGACAGGTAACATTCTTCCTGTCTGAAACAACAGCTTCAGCTATGGTCTGCCATGTAGCCCCAGGATTCATAATGCAGTAATCTGTGTGTATGTGTGTCTATGTGTGCACCCATGGAACAACAACTTAAAGGGTATCTTTAGTAAACAGTGCAACTTGTCGATTACTTTGCATGATTAAATATTATAGTCTGATTATCTGTAAACAAAACTCCACACAAATACTCTAAATTCTATTTTTAAAAATCTGTCAACCCATAGTTATTCTAACAGATTTACTTACTTGAACACACACTGAATTTCTGAAAGGTGCATATATTACCTTAGACAATAAGGTTTAGAAATGAGTGCTTGATACCATGAAATGTGCACTTCTGATATTTGTTTTATGCAGCACAGGGTTTATATCAAGAAATAACAAGTCCTGGATCCCCACAGTTCATTTAGAAAATGCCTCAAGTTATGGCTCTTGCAGCAGGTTTAACAGATTAAATATGAAGTGTTCTAGCTCCATTTCAAGTATTAAAGAAATATGAGGCTCAAAAATCTCTAGGTTGTAACCGAAAATGCAAAGCTTTTAAAAACAGTAAATGTGTTTAAAAGATATTAATTGAAAAAAGATTCTTAAAGTGTTTACTTGTTTTAGGCTGATAAATACTAGGACCTTAAAAAAATCTTAAATGTGAATATTTGCTCAGAAGTGATAAAGAACACAATTTGCCTATAAATGCATGTTTGGGGGGAAAAATGTCAATCTTGATGTTTAGAACTATTTCAATATTTTTTATCTTAGTTTTGTTTCCTTTTGAATTATATTAATTTAAATTTCAAGCCGAACATAAATATTTGGCCCTATAGTGTTTATAATGAAATGATTTACTTTGGAAATGCAAAATTTTTAAAGCACTGGAGAGAATTTACTAAGGCTGTTCAAACTCTTTCAAAGTCACAAAAATCCTGCAGTTCAGGAAAATATCGGGTACCTTTGAAGTTTCAGAGAAAGCTGATCTTCTGAAATTTCAATGCCACTAAAAAAATCAAAAAAGGTCAAATAGAAAAGACTGCTGCAATAAAGCACTGCTTCTAAAAGCTGCAGTTGTGATCCTAAATCTGACAGAGTTAGCAAAGCTCCTGGAAGTAAACAACTTCCCGCCTTTTCCTAGGCACACTGAATTTTCCCTAGAAAATACTCGAACCTGGTTCGTAACATATTAAGTAGGGTGAATATTTTAAGATCTTTCTGTCTCTCTTAAAAAAGAATTCAGATATTTCACTAAAATGTAATAAGAAGTATATCCTACGTGGAGCCCATTAGACTTTCTGGAACTAGTCAAATTGTATAAAATTTTAAGAATTATGTGAAAGTGTGGAATCAACACTCTATGAAAACAGTGTGACAAAATTAAACAATATGTTGAATCCTTTTCTAGCTTTAACTCAAAAATAGAAATCATGAGTCTTATATAACATTAATTTTAAAAACACACAGAGGTGAAAAGTGCTATTTTTCAAAAAGTACAATTTTTTCCCTACTATATATCAACATGGAATGATTTCAGTTCTCCTGTACTAAAAGCTGAACTTTAAAAAAACTAGTATTGCAATGTTTAATGTGTAGATTTTAATCAGTAGTGGCTTCGGTTTCAGCTGGACCCCTAATCAGTCTCCGGATTCCTCTTTTTCCGGCAGGACCTTTGGGTTTTGCGAAGCTTTGCTTGTGCGCGTGTTGCTTGGGGTGCACTTCTTCATAAAGGAAGTCTGCAGTCAACTCATCCCCATTGTCTATCTCAATCTGTAAAAGATGACATCGGGAGTGTGCTATAAAAAGTGCCACATTTAAAATCTAATACAAGCAACGAGCCAACCTTCAGGTATGATGCTCACGATAAACACATAATACCTGTTCTAGCACGAGACAAAGACCACGTGTAAATCGTTTCACTTTCTCCTTTTGGGAGAAATGAGTTGCCTGAATATATAATCAGCTATAGTCACTTCCTATTTGGTTCCCTCTTACTGTTTCATTTTAAATAATGTTTAAAAGGAGAAGCCACCAACCACTACATTCTGCAGTTGTTTTGCTTTGACAGACTGTAGATTCAAGAAGCATTACTCACAGCCCCTCCATTAGGGCCACTTGAAATCACTCTAGAACAGAAGTTAGCAAACTATGCCTGCAGGCCAAATTTTACCCAACCTAAAATTGTTTTACAGTCTTAAAGGTTGTTAAAAACAAACAAAAAGAACATGTGACAAAGACCATATGCCTGGCAAAGCCTAAAATATTTACTGTTAGGTCCTCTGTAGAAAAAGTCAGCTGATCCTTGCTGTAGAAGGTGCTAGCCATGCTAACATAACTCTTTTATAAAGTGTGAAAGGTCTAGTACCTAAAATACTGGTAGTCTGTAAAAGCTGTATTTTAAGAGTTGGGCTTAAAAATAAACTATAATTTCCCCCCATGCCTTACCTGCATTTAAGAAAGCAAAGTTAAGAAAATTAGAAGCTTAGTTCCCAAAATTCAAATGTTTGTTTGTCCCCTTCTTCCCCAAGAATTGGAAAGATTCCCAACTATCCCATGATTCAGAGTCATAAATGGAGACTGTAGTCCCATAACAGTAAGGAGTCTGGAAGCGATCCCAAGTATGTAGCTCTTGCAGCAGTTCCAAGAGGACTTTCTACACTGATGGAAATATCCTATACACTCGGTACCACCTAGCGCAATAGCCACTAGCCACATATGTATGGCTAATGTGCACTTGAAATGTGGCTAGTGCAATTAAGGAACTGAAATTTAAATTTTATTTAAGTTTATAGTTAAATAGCCAGATGTGGCTTATGAGAGAACACAGAGCTATAGAGAAAAGGGGATCGTGATAAGTCATCCCTAGGCATTTAGGGGAGACCCTAAGGATTTAGGATGAGAAAAGAAACATAATTATTTTCATTTATACATCACAATACATCATAAGCTAAATGAAAATGAAAGAAAAATCTAAGAAAGTCCCGAGGATGTTAAAATGAATAGGTCTACCTTTCTGATGACATCCATTTGTAGTTGCCTTTCTACGATTTCTAGTAGAGGGCTCTTGCAGCTAGAATACAACATCCGTTCTCTGATACTGCATGTATATCCCGGCATTGAATAAATAAAAACTGTAAGTTAAAATAATAAACGAAAACAATTAGCAGTGTGCCAGTTAAAGCAAGTATATAAACTTCACAAAACTATAGCTAAGCCCTCTGGGCAAGGAGTAAGACTATAAGGCTGAAATGTCAACATGTTACAAAACATAAGATGTTAAGAACAACATATACTATACCTATGGACTCTAAATAGTCTCCTTCATGGGAATGTTTATACAGAAAAAAATGATAACGTGCTGAATCCTTGGGAATCCTCTTTGGCAAATCTTTTAGTTCTGTGTTTGTTGTGTTGGCCAAAATTATAACTTCATTTTTTATATCTATTTCCTATTAATAAGAAACAAAATATATTCACTAAAAAACATAGAAATTAAGTTAAAAACTTATTTAAAAAACTAGGAAAGGAACCTTAACACATTTGTGGATTGACTTTTTAACAACGAACATGCATTGCTTTCGTAATTAAAAAAAATCAGAAAGCAAATTAAAACATTTAAAATCTATAAAAATAAACCTTATACAAGCTGTAAGCTTCCCCAAAACCAACCACTTCATAACCGTCATTATCTATCTCTTACCAATTGCACATAGTTGAGCTGTCTGTTATTCAGTTTTTCCAAAGCCTGAAAAGCATCTCGGGAAATAGGAAATGCTACTCCTTGGAGTGTCTGATGCTTAGTGTCCACACCCACATCGGTTTGTACCTAAGTATGACACATTTAATTTACTGGTAACGTTTTAACATTTAGTAGTATTATAAGGCAAAAATAAGAAAACCCAATCTCTATAAAATAGTGAGCCCAATCTATAATTAATATAAAAAACATTATGAACTTTAAAAGTGAATTCTTTTACACACTTGTTATGGTCCTGCTAGCATTTGGTCGACATGCAGAGTCGTGTGCATGACACATCTTTATGAGAATGCTGGGCGTGAGCATCTGAATGAGTGTGCAGTGTTAGTGGGGCTCTGGGGGTTTTGTTTGCTTTTATGTTTGGTTCAGCACAATTTCAGTGAGCTACATAAGCTCTTCCAAGAGCTGTAATCATCAGATTACACCTTCAATGACAAAATTTTATTTGACAGAATTAATAAACAGTAATATACATACAATATGTATAGAACTTTACTTTGTTCTGTTGAACATAAAATGCAACACAAACACCATGCATTGAACTGGAAGTAGTACAAACGGTATACAAAGACACAACACAGCTCCACAAGTTATACGACTGCAGAAGTTCCAGACTTAGAGCTTTCTTTACTAAGAACACGGGCACGCAAGTATTGGAAGGGGAGAAGGATATTTCAAGAAAGCTTTCAATGCACATGTTTAAGATTTTTATACTTGATAAACGACAGCTAGTATAGGGTCTCATTTGCAGTGTTGCAACAGGAAGTCCAATAGAAATTTTACTTTTAAAAAATGAATGGAGATTCTACAGCATAAATGATATTGGATAATGAAAACATCATAGAACATATGCAAATGCATACCCCAATACGATCCTCTGGGTTCTGATTGCAAGGAACAAAACAAACTATCAAACTTGTAAAAAAAAAAAAATCATATAAAAAGCCCTACTCAAATAACGTTTTGCTAAAACAATATAATGATAGATCCCTGCTACCTATTTAATATTAAATGATAGTCAACCACTTTCTAAACTGATTCCTATTAGCCTTTACTCAGGCTAATGAAACAGTGGTTTCAGCTGGTTATTCTTTTCTATAAAATCCCAGTAGAAATACAATAATGATTCCAGCATATAATCAGAATGGCTGCAGAAAACACATTAAAATGATAAAGTATATATGGCTAAAATTTATTGACTCTAATATGCTCAGCAAGTACTCAGATAACAATCTTTCATTCTTTCATATATATGTCCATGTAAGTAGTATTCACAGAAGGTAATATGTAGACCTAGAAATCTTAAACATCCTACAGCATTTATATTTTATTCTATTTAGTCAGCATCATTCTCTTGCGTAACATTGCAAAACAGAAAAATAACATGCTTCAGGCAACCTTATTAATTATAATAGTCTTTGCATTAAAAGAGTAATACACACTTTTTCCATTTATAGAGTATTCAAAGCACAAAGTTAACAACAATGTTCTTCCAATAGGTAGATTTACTATTCTGACATGTACACACGTATTACAGGAGAAAACTATCAAACTGATAAGTAGTTTAAAATACATTTTTAACTTTTTATCTAAAAACACATCAAGCACACACTCTTATGTCTACAAAGAATAAACCTAAGCTACCTAACTTCTGTGTTTTCTAGTTACCTCCACATCTATTAATTAAAAATATGATTTTCAAATGCTGAAAATACTGAGGGTTTCAAAGTTGTAATTTACCTCATTAATTTTAATCTGTCTTAATTCTTCTTCAGCTGCAGTCAGTGGGGCAGGGGAAGACTGTGACAGCAAATATTTTTTATATCCATGTAATGATACATCTTCCTGTAAGTACGGAAAAAGACTATTCAATTATTTGCTAGAAATAAAACTAGAGACAAGTGACTTTACAAAAAACAAAGTCATTAATTTAACAGAAAAGATTTTAAATCTTAATAGCATAAAGAATTTTACTATTTCTTTTTACTTTTAATACTCTATTGTAAAGGTTTCAAAATTTTTTAAGAGGAATATCTATTAGTCATTTCCTGCAGTTCTATAATTAGTCTGAGTTTGGTGTCGGTAATGTCCCAAAATAATGACACTGGTCAAGAGTCAAGTGTAGGGGACAATTATAACAACCTGTTAGGGAAAACCGCCTTATAATTATTCAATAATCAGTGTATTCAGCTTCTGGTTCTATTTTATAATTATTTATATAATTTCTCTATAGCTACTCAAAGAGAATTATTATAGTTTTTATATCAAAAGTAAAAATACTCCACAAAGGTCTACTTATCCAAGTTTCGTGGTTTGTAAGACTGAGACTCATAGTATTGAGAGACTAGCCCGTCTCATAATTAATGGTGAACAAGCAACCTATTCTCACCTCATCTTTTGCTCTATACACTAGATATTACTTTGTGAATCAGAAGAGCTCTGAACAAAGAAATTTAAAAAAAAAACCTTGGCTCCACGCCTGTAACTCAGTGAGTAGAATGCAGCCACATACACTGAGGGTGGCAGGTTCGAGCCCAGCCCGGATCTGCTAAAACAATGACAACTCCAACCAAAATATAGCCGAGTGTTGTGGTGGGTGCTTGTATTCCCAGGTACTTGGGAAGCTGATGCAAGAGAATCATTTAAGCCCAAGAGTTTGAGATTGCTGTGAGTTGTGACACCACAGCACTCTACCCAAGGTGACACAGTGAGACTCTGTCTCAAAAAAACAAAAAAAAACTTTTTGAAAAATATATTTAAATTTTCTTAATTTGTGTGTGTGTATATAAATACATGTATCTACCATATAAATATTTTTAAGGAATAGATATGTCTTAATGCCACTTATTCTCAATGTCAAATAAATAGATACAAATGAATAAATTCAAAGTTACATATCTATTAGCATTAACTTGTATTTGTATGAAATATAACAATATTTTCTCTCTTATTCTTATGTTTACAGATTTATTCACCTGAATTCATATCAATTACCCATTACCTAGAAGTTCTTCTTTAATCATTTTAATTGCAGCATATAAAATTCACATAAAAATATAAGTTTTATACCTTTACTGTTCCAAATACTTCATCTTTAATGTGGCCACCTCCAAACTCCTTTTTCAGAGTTGCTCGTGTAGCTGCATACAACATTTTTTGACGAACCTATTCAGTCACGAAAGTTTACATAGTTTACAGATGAAAACATATTACAAAACAAAGAATTCTGAATGTATTAAAATCTTCAAGCACACTAAAACTGCAATAAAACTGATAAAAGCTGAAGCCTACTAACTGCTAAGATAATGAGTACAAATAACATTAATGTCATTAACACAAATATCTAGTTAAGGTAGATTTCAATTTAAAATATACGTGACATTTAAAAGTCAAAATATATGCAATTTTAAAAACTATTCAAAGCATAAAATAAGCTCAAGAATTATTTTTTTTTTTTTTTTGACAGAGCCTCAAGCTATCCCCCTGGGTAGAGTGCCATGGCATCACAGCTCACAGCAACCTCCAACTCCTGGGCTCAAGCGAGTCTCCTGCCTCAGCCTCCCAAGTAGCTGGGACCACAGGCACTCGCCACAACGCCCGGCTATTTTTTGGTTGCAGCCGTCATTGTTGTTTGGCAGGCCTGGGCTGGGGATTCGAACCCACCACCTTAGGTGTATGTGGCTGGCGCCTTAGCCGCTTGAGCCACAGGCGCTGAGCCAAGCTCAAGAATTATTAAAATAGGAGGAAAAGATTGAAATGAAGTAACCTTGATAGGGACATTTTACTCAAAGCTAGATTGGTTATTACTGTAAGAATCAAACACTCATGGCTTACCGTTCTATGAGCGACAAAAGAATGACATGAAGCATATTACACACTACTATTAAAAAGTTTACTAGTATCTATGGGATGCAACTAAAGATAACTACCAACTAACAGAAATAATTTCATAATTCTGCAAGGTCAAATCCTGTAGTCACACAGGATGTGTGGAATTAAAGAGGATGGGATGATCTTTTCAGAATGATATGTAGATAACTTTAAAAATTATGAATTTTTTATAAGAACTATGAGGATCTTTAATATATTGATCATACTCATATATCAGTTTTGTCTTTTATCTATTTAGTCTGTCCACTACCAACTTTCCAACGAGAAATACTTAACTTGTTTGCATGTCTACCCTTTGAATGGTAGTGATTAATAATATATGGAGACAATTAACAAAATTTAATATAATGTTCAATTAGTTCTCAGAATTATTACTCTTAGGGCCAAGCAGTTAGCTTCATTCTTCAGAGACCCATAGAGTCATTTATAATTACTACACATTTTAAAATTTTATTTATTTATTTGAGACAGCATCTCACTCTGTCACACTGGGTAGAATGCTGTGGCATCATCATAGCTGATAGCAACCTCAAATCTTGGGCTTGAGTGATCCTCTGGCCTCAGCCTGTGGAGTAGCTGGGACTATATGCACCCCTAACATCTAGCTGGTTTTTCTATTTTCAGTAGAGACAGGGTCTCACTCTTGCTCATGAACTCCTGAAGTTCAAGCAATCCATCTGCCTCGGTCTCTCAGAGTGCTAGGATTACAGGTGTGAGCCACAGCACCTGACAATTTCAAAATTTTACTTCAATAATTATTTTGCTTTCAAGGGCAAAACTTCTGAATCTAAGTGCTTTTTGGTTCCATATTATCAAGCTGAAGATTATTTCCCCATGATCATTCCCTTCTATGGGAAATGACAGTTGCTTCTTAAACTTAATTCACCCTAGAAATATTTCACGGTGGCTCATGCCTGTAATCCTAGCACTTTGGGAGGCTGAAGCAAGTGGATTGCTTGAGCTCCGGAGTTCAAGACCAGGCTGAGCTTGAGCTAGAGCCACACCTCGTCTCTACAAAAAAATAGGAAAAACAACAACAACAACAACAAAACTAGCTGGGCATTGTGGTAGGTGCCTGTAGTCCCAGCTACTTGAGAGGCTAAAGCAAAAGAACTGCTTGATCCCAAGTGTTTGAGGTTGCTGTGAGCTATCACACCATGGCACTCAACCCCATGGCAACTGAGCGAGACTCTACCTCAAAAATTAATTAATTAATTTAAAAAATAAATAATTCTTTCTAGCATTTAATATTAAACTACCAAAAAACTACTTACATGAGAATGATCTGGAGACCACGCAATGAATATCCATTCATAACCCTGGGCATTCTGAGAATCTAACCTGAATAATATATAGCATGGCTGTTTGTCCTCCAACAGAGGTAAAACAAAGGAATCATAATCCTTATCCCAGGAACCTGAAGGCTGACTACATGATCCAATCACAAGTTGCTCTATAAAAAACAATTTTTAAAAAGATAGGTAAGCAATCTGAAAGATCAGGTTGTAGTTTGATGAAGAAAAATAATCTATCTATAGTCATTTCCCAATTACTGTTATTTATATCAAAAGGAAAAAAGTGGTGCAGAAAATAATTATGATATGAAGAATTACTAGAAACAGGAAGATTTTATGAATAGCATGGCTAAAATTTTTTGTGTATACACAGCACAAAAAATATACAAAATGATCAGAATAATTGAGTTGAATAGTCAAATGTGGGTGAATATATCTATTTCCTAAAATATCTATGCTGTAAATTCTTAACAAAATATAGTTAAATAACTGTACTACCACTCAAAAGAATAATTTCTGAAATTAACACTGAATTATAGCATAAGAAATACTGAAGAAAAGTAGGTCTAACTCCTGCTCAGCGATAATGCTAGAGATTTACAAATCTGCCTGGAAGCATAAATTCGTATTGTCACTCTGAAGCACTATTTGGCAGAATGTAGCACAATTCTGAATGTTCTCTGCATAAAGAATCTCTAGCACACATATGTACAAAGGTGTTCACTGCAGCACTATACAATAACAGTGAAAACTGGAAATAACTTCAATTTCATCAATAAAAGAATGGATAAAAATACGTGGCATAGCCATGATTACATTCTACTCACATTTAAAAAGAATTAATGAGCATTCTATCAAAACTAATTATAAACATAACATTTACAGAAAAAGGAAAAATGCAGACTAAGGCAGTATCATAAACTTTATGGGACCTTAAAAACCCAAACAGCATTGTATTCAACTTAAAGATACATATAAAAAAGGGACAAAAACTCCTCATTACACATGCACCGGGGGGAAGAAGTCAGAAAGAAAAACTGTTTAAAAGAGATGCTCTTATGTCAAAACAATATTACATTTTAGAAAGTGCTTGAAGGAAGTGTGATAAAAAGCAGTTGCTAATTTAAGAGGAGACATAGGTATTTAAGATATTATTTTATTCTTTGGAATTTTCTGTTAAAAAATTTTCTCAAAATACATCCCACCAGAAAATAATAATTTAAGAAACAGTGGCATTTTCTTTCTGTAGAAATGCTAGCTAGATTAACTGTTCCATTTCAGTTACTTAACTATTCACTTAAGAAGTGATGGCATTTAACATTTAAATCATCATTTTAAAACTATGCTGATTTACAGTATATATTTATTCCTGGTAATTCGTAATATACAGAGAGCAAATGTATATTTTACAAATTATTCTGGTATTTTTAATACATAAGCAGAGAATGGAAAACAGATTTACTTCCATTTTATGAAAGAACAAGTAATTTTCCCAAATACAAAAATATTTCAAGGCTTTTAAGGAATTAAGCCAACTGAATTATTTTAATGCATTCATTTGTGATTAAATAGTTCTGATACTACTCAAATTTAAATCTGCCCAATTTAAAGGATTCTCCCACCCAGGTTTCCTACTTACAAAATTAGTTTTAAAGAATCAATTTATAAGTTGTTATAGTCTCAGAATATCCCCCAAACAACAAGGAAGGGTAATAATCATTTCTATAGCACAGGTTGCAATCAGGTGGAGAAAATAGTAGAGTTTGAAATTCTTTGTTTCTACTTTAAAACAAACTTTACCGAATTACTTCACAAGGAACTTTTTTGATAATCACCTGTTACCTGATTTCCATTCCAGAAATGAAAGCACTGACATTAAAGAGATTGTGGTACAGAAATTCAGACACAAGAAAAAGAGGAAAACATCACTTCAAAAAACATCTTTGTTTCCCTGAGAGCTAGAGAATTCAGAAAGGAAACAGAGACCCTTACAGACCTGCACAAAATGTGAGGAATCCAAGTTACCTTGCTCAAGGCAAGCTGTGAACTCACTGCACATCAATAAAAAGTACAAATCACTAACATTAATTAGTTTGAAAATATAACACCCAATAATCCAGGGACAAACAAAATTTTAAAATGTTTAACTAACCATTTTCAATAGATATTTTCAGAAGTCTGTACTTTCCATTTCTGGCTCTGGCAAAGATATCTTTAACGTCTTCACTTGCTGTGGAAAAGATAAAGAAAAGCAAACCTTTTTTTTAATACTTAATACTTTCTTTTGCTACCTATATGGAAAAAAATACTATATGGAAAAAAAAATAATTACAATACAAAGAAAAACACTTAAGTATTTAACCTCTTATTATCAATATGAGAAAGTTTAAAGGCATAAGACAACGGATATTATATACAGTTAAGAAATACAAACATTAATGTATTTTAAAAGTATGTTAGCATTCATTCTAATCGGTTTCAGCTAGATAATTCTGTTGCAAAAATAACACTGGAGTGAACACAACGAAGTTAATCAAACCCAATAGTGGGCAAATCAAATTTGGAAAAAAATCTTTATTGTTTGTTAGAAAAATGTTGAAAACTTCTTTTCATTCCCTTCTAGTTCTGTTTCAAGCTTACGATAAAGACAGCTCCTTTATCAAGTCATTTTCTGTATTTTTTGTTTAAAAACAGTATCAAATCTCAGGTTATCCTATCCTGATTAAGGAAAAAGCCAGTAAAACACATTCAATCTTATACTTTGGGTTATATTTTTCTAACTTGCGTTTCTCAAAAAGCTAAAGTAAACTCACTGAAGAAATACAGATTTAATAACCCAACCCTTGTCTTCCTACTGAAGCTTCAATTTTCTTGTGTTGTCTATTAACAGAAGGCAACACTAATAAGCAGTGCTTGCCATGAGGCTCAAGCATGAAAGTCGATAATTACATACTTAAATGTCAAAATTAATGCGGGCAAATAAAACAGTACTTTTAGATTTGAGATTATTTTTGCTTGTGTGCCTGTGAAGGAGGACGTGAGAGAATAAGCGTAAGTGCCCCTTAAGAAAAGAACACACAATTAAGCGTTCATTAAGGGAAAAGATTCGTCGTCTATTGATAGGAAGAGCTTGAGTTTATATAGGAATTCGTTAAGTGATCACGAGTAACCCCAGGATATATTATTTGATTCTGACGAGGTGAGCGCTTCCAGGCTGTCCATTTCCAAAGCAGGAAATAATGGAGGGCAGATATTACTGCCCATTCCACTGTCTGCACGGGATAACTAAATTCAACCACACAGATCAGACTTTTCAGTTCCCCTGGGGAGTACGTAGGAAAAAGACCCAAAGACACCCCGCACTCTGGATTTCTCAGAACATAATTCTTATGTTCTTATTCGGGGAGATAACATGGAAGTTTGGGAAGCACCGCTACTGATGTGGGAAAGATTCTGGCATGTGTCCTTTCATAATAATCAGGATCCTCAAGGCTCCTTTGGACAGTGAAAAGGAAAAGTGGCCCGGCTCTCTACAGCAAAGGGGAGCCCAGTCGCCGCCACCGCTCCAGCTCTTTCCCACTAGACAGAGAAGGGGAGAAGTTGGCCTAACGTGGGGGGCAGCGGAGGGCACGCCCCCTTCGCCCAGCCGCCCCGGACGCCAGTCCCCCAGCTCCTCCGAACTTCGCGTCGATCTGCAACGTGGCGGCGGCCGGGCCCAGCCAGGGAGACGCGGACCCGGAGCGCCGGGCGAGCGCGGAGACAACGAGGCCCGCGGGAC